CATCCCTACACTGCACCCCAAGCCTCATGGGTGTTACCATAATGTTGTTCCCTCTGTTGGGGCTTTAGCCTCTTCAGACTCTTTCCTTTTAATCTACATAAGTCTGGCTCTGTGGTCTCAGCCTCTGCCCACTCTGGACTCAGTAGTCATTCAAGCCCCTACCCCTTGCACTGGCATATCTCCCAGCCTGGGCTCCTTGTGAGCTCCCTGAGCTTCACTGTTCCTGCAGGCAGCAAAGAAGACAGTCTAGCATTCTTGGGTAGCTCTCCTGGCAGGAGCTCCTAACCCTTCTGCTGACAGGTCTAGACTGTCTTGCCAGCCTAAACCCCAGGCTTATATGCTCTCAGGGCCCTGCTCATTTCTGGTTTGCAGGCTTCCTACAGGTGCTTAATTGTCTCATTTGCCCTGTTGCCCCAGGAACTGGCAGGTGTTGCACCCTGACTAGCCTGCACAGCTCCCTGGCTGGGCTGCTTTTATCTTAAAGGAACAGGGATCCCCAGGCTCTCTGTTAAACCCTGGTATAGATGACTGAATTCTTGTTGATCTGAATTTTGAATCTTAGCATATTTTTCTTTAAGAAAAATATACAGTCTAGGTAGGATGCTAAACATTCTACAGTATAAAGTTTGGAGTAATTTTTATTATTGTTTTATTACTGCATTGTGGTGGCAGCTAGAAGTCCCAGTCACAGGCCAGCCCTGCACTGGAATCACTGGTGTAAAGATGAAGAGGACTGGTTGTATGTTGAAAATACCCCCTGAGTGGGTCACACTACAGGCCAGAAGAGAAGTGAAAGTTCCCAGTCCCTCTTTGTTCTGTTAGGCTATGGAGAAGACTCATTTTACCTTCCCAGCTCTTTGCATTTCTTTTTTGTCTCGGTTGGCGAATCCAGTCAGTGCAGAAACTTCCAGCATTCCAGTTACTGTAAGCACGGGAGCAATCACTAGGATCAGCAGAGTCATCTCCCATCCATATATAAAAGAAATGATGATGGACAATCCCATGGTGGAAATGTTTTGTGCTATTACACCAAGTCTTGAGCCTACTGCCTGTAATCAGGTAAAATATGAACACTATTATCTACTAATGAGTCTTAAATAGTCTCATTCTACCTGCATAATAGCAAGCACTTCTAGGAGGAACAGTAAAATTCCAAGAACATTTCAGAGAAGTCTTTTACTCTGGCTGCAACTCTCCTGGCAGAAATGGATTGTGCAAACCAGAAACTTCACAGCACTATTTTAACAGCCTCATTATCTATTTGCATTTATATTTCCTAACTGTAGGCAGTCCCACAAAGAATGACTTGCTAATTTTATTCACCTATAAGTAGGTATCTACTTAAAGTGTGTGGAGGGGAAATAAAAATCGCGAGCCACTTCATGTTCAGGGCTACTGTCTTGGTCTTTTCAGGGTGAGTCCCCACCTTCCCCCACCACTGACTGGCTGATGGGCTTCAGTGGCCCTGCCTGTCAGTGCTGATTGGCTGAGAGGGCTGCCTTTCACATGGCCCCTCCCATTGACTCTGACTGGTGGAGAGGGCTGCCCTTCGTGTGGCCCTGGCCCTTGCCGCTGATTGGCGGAGAGGGGTGGACCTGCACAAAAGGCAGCCTTTTCAGCCAATCAGTGGTGGAGGGAGAAGGGGGCAGCTATCATCTTGACTGCTCCCCTTTGTGTCAGTGGCTTCCTCCCATCCGCTAGGTGGGCTGCATGGCTGGGCTGCAGCAGCCACTAGATCCCACAGAGGAGCTGAAATTTTATTTTTAGTAAGCTTTCTTTTTTTCTGGTGATTCCATGCAAAGTTGCAGGGAACACCAGTTTTCATAGTGATCATGGAAACTGCCTTTTTTGTGGTTTCTGCAAAAATCGTGAATTGAGTAGATCAATACCTATGGAGATCAAGAAAGGACCAATGGGATTTAAGTTGTTGAATTCACAGTGGTCATGATATTCATACTCTTTTTTTTATACTCTTAAAGGAACTTTGAAGTATTCCATTTTTTTTCTTCCATTCTGTAAACCACTCTTAAAAATAGCTGACCACACTGTTTTACTATTTGAGTTAAAACGTTAACTGAAATTGAGAGTTAGGGCTAAGCAAATTTTGGCTTTGCTGGACAAACCGCCAACCAACCAAAAATCATTTAGGACTGACCTGAACTGGAAATTCTTGTTTTTTTCTACTATACACACTGAAATATATAAACAAATGATTTTGAGGGAGAGGGATTGCAGAGCAAACCAACATGTAATTCAACCCAAAATAACATAGTTCTTTCAAAGCCCAGTTCAATTTTGAAATGAAAATGATGTTTTGAAACTAAAATTGAAATATTTATTTAAAATGATTCAAATGATCCATTTAAAAATAAGATTTTCTGACTCTCTCATAATTTCCCCCCTTTTTGGCCAAAACTAAACTCTGAACTTGAGAATGATTTTAGTTCATTGGAAAAGCATTTTTTGTGATTTTGCTATTTTCTGAAAAAGATTTTACTACATTCTACACAGAATCTCTATAAGATATATATAGCAGTATTAACTTTGCATTCATTCTGTCCCATGCTTAACTTTAATCTTTTGTTCCTTTTAGAGATGTTTAATCTGAAACCTGAAATGTAAACACTTCTATTCTGCTCTGAACTTGAAGCTGCACCCCTTGGTGGATTAAACCATTACCTTGGATCTAAACGCAGTTGAACTTTAGAAAGGTTCAAATCCAGATCCAGAGACAAAATCTTTAGTTCAGGTCCATTTTTAAATATTGGATTTTCCTTTCTTCATTCACCCTTACTCTAAACCTTCCCTGTGTTTCCTACATTTAGCTCAGTTTATTTTCTTGTTTTTTTTTTCTCTTTGCTCTAATATTGTCTCTCCCTATTTAAACACCCCTTTCTTCAACCCTTTCGAATAACTTTACCACCTCTCCCTAAATCTGCCTTCTTTCTGTTCATTTTCACTACCTAGAGAGAAGTACTGGTCTTCCAACTTTATAGGCTGTCATGTGTTACCAAAAACCGCACAGACTGAAACGCATCTAATTATAGTTACAAAGATACAAAATTAGACTCATACATACCATTTGAACTTGTGCTGCTTCTGTGGCCAATCTTGTTGTCAAAGCTCCAGTGCTATTTTTTTTATCATCAAACCAAGAGATGTCCTATAAAACAGATTGAAAAAACACCACATGACAAAAGGCTAAAGGTATTCGTTCACAAAAGCCATTTCCACTTATTATGGCCACTTACACTTGAAAACTAATTTGTGCAAACAATTACCTGATTTACACATCGTGTACAGATCCTAATTCAATGTAGCCTCACTGACTACAATGAAGCTATGCTGATTTATACCTTCTAAATATCTGTCCCATGATATTTTGTGTATTCAGACGTACACAAACATCCCCACGTGGCGTTTTAGGGATTCTTTAAATGTTGGCCCTTTGCATTCTCAGCAAAGATAGACTAGATTTTTAATTTTCTTGCAGTCCTGTAGGCTAAGTCTATTCTCTCCCCCTGCAAACTCAGGGGCCTCCCCTATAAATCTTATTATGCCCAGCAACCTGCAGTGTGTAGGCAAAGGAGGTCAACAATTAGCCTTTATAGAGTGGATGTCATGCTAATGTGGGGGCCCCTGGGTGGTCCTATATATCAGATTGACTTTTAGATACTGATCAAATGAAGATCAATTAGGGGTTACAAAGAGACACTAGGTGGGTTGTCAGCATCAGTATAATTTCTGATTTCAGGCCTGGGGCTAAGATAAGCTAGCTGTAGAACTTGATTTATTTTAGCTAACAAGTGAAGTTGAGGCATAAAAGTGTTAAATATTCAAATATATTTCAATGTCAACTTCTCTATCCATGGGAAGACTACTTGGAGGCAGATATTGGACTTGACTTGGGCACTTTCATTCTGTCACTATTGTATGGTTGCTTTAAACATAGTCTGAAAGACTAACATAATTTTATGAAATGGTTTTAATTTTGATTTTAAAACACTTTCTTTTAAATAATGCTAAAAGTATCTCAGGGATCAGAATCTTGATTTTCTTTTCTGTTTTTAGGAAGTATGGGCCTAATCCTAAGGCAAGTTGAATGTTTCTATTAATTTCAACAGGATGAGAATCAGACCATATGGATAGAAGGTAAGTCTTAAATGGAAAGTAAGCCTTAGACCCAGCCACCAGTATGAGCACAGATGTATTTCTGTAACAAGTTTGTGATGCTTTTATCTGGTTTGGTTACAACCACCGTAGGAGGATTTTTCTATAACATGGATAAATGTGGTGATCACCATTCTGAGTCTAATAGAGGCCTGCAGTGCACCCTGGGAAGTTCCAAGCAGCTATTCCTATAGTGCCTCAGCAGAGGCCGTGTGCCTGGAGCACCTGCACACAGGAAAACACCAGAACCACATGAGGCTCCCTGAACAGAAAGCAAGGAAGGAACAGGAACAGCCAAACCAGTTAAACAAGTATAGTGAGATCTGCAGAAGCAGCAAAGCGACAAGGCCCATAGAAAGTTCTGTTCGACACCCAAGAGGACCTAACATTCAGACATTTCTGGCATCCAAAGGTAACAAAATACATCTTCCCTGCCACCTAGAAGACTCAACAGCTATTTTGCCCTTAAGTTTTGCTTCTTGAAATTATTACTTGATCAACAGCCTTTAAGTTACTTCAGAGATGTGATTAATCATTTGCTCTTGGCAGGCATAGTTATAGCTGCTAAGTGCTGGAAACAAAATCTTGTAAAATCTGGCCAAGATATAAGAGATACTGGAAATATAAAACTTACTCTACATATGCAGAGGTGAACAGCATTACAGAAACAAAACAAGACTGCTGATAAAACAAACATTTACTGTAATAAAAAACTTTCCCATATTTTATAAAAAAAATCTAGGTAAACAGATAAATCCAGCTCTCTTGTGAAACAGGTGCAGACAGTGCAGGTAAAATAACCAGCCACCATGCTTTTCTCTTAGTAATTTTCCTTTCTAGCTTCTCTATGGTCCCATGTATGCTGTACTGATAGAGGCAGTTAAATTTATGAATGTCCAATGACAATGTTACATATCTTCACATATAGAATTGGGCATGAATGGTACAACCATATTAACTGTGGATCTTATTAGAGACCTGAAAAAGTCAAAGTCTGTAGAAGCATTCAGGATCATTCTGTGCTCTTACTGGTGCCTGCTCCAGGCTACTGGCTTCCAGAAACAACAAAATTAGAATGAAATAAGCCAACTTATGGGGGAGCAAAATCGAGAAAACAATCCCAGATGCTCCATAGACCTCCAGAACTAGAACCGTACTCCTGATCCCATTTAGTATAGTCACCTCCGTCAGCAGACTAATTAGCATCCACATAGCACTATGGGCATACTAATTGTGTATCTCTGCTCAGAGGAAGAAATGATTAGTTCAGGTGTAGCTCAGCAAAATCAGTACTATATTGTTTCTGGTTCAGGAGTTAGTCCTTCTGATCTGGTAGTATGGATACATCCAGCTGGAAAAAGCATCATTGTATTGAGTCCCCTCAACAGACATAGCAGGGCATTATCTTGCACTGTGTGAAGATTCAGAGTTGTGACCAATTTTTCAAAATCAGGACAGAAGTCCCATTTAGAAACTCCATGGGGCACAGACACCAGGATTCAGCCCTGACATTAGGGGCCATTGGTAACTCTAGCTTAGATAGTGAGAGGGTTATTTGTTCTTGCCTGCCTGGTAATAATTTCTTTGTGCTCTGATCAAGAAAACATTGCTGCACTTTCTGCCTCACTTTGTCTATTTAGTATTCAAGATATCTGCCATGTGTGAAATGTAAGATGTGATTAACTAGTTAATCACATCTTAAGTGATAACCTAGCCAAAAATTAAAGCAATTAATGGCATCATAAAATAAGGAAAAAGCCACAAAGTTATTCTACAAAAATTGTATAACAACTTTGTGGCTGGTTCCTATTATGCGATTAACTGAATGGGTGGCCAGGGGTGTGCCCCTGTGGCTGGGAACCCACAGCTGATGGGACTCCCAGCTAGGAAAGCACATGGTCTGCCCCCACAACTGGGAGCCCCATCAGCTGAAGGGGCTCCCAGCTGTGGGAGTTTGCTACTTGCTGGTGCAGGGTAGGGTTACCATACATTGTTTCATAGTTGTTAGGGGCTGGAAGGGACCTTACAGATCATTGGGTCCAGCCCCACTGCAGGTGGGCAGGAAAGACTGACCACATGATCCCAGCAAAATGGGCATCAAGACATTTTTTGAAGTTTGCTAGGGTGGATGACTGTACCACTTCTGCGGGGAGCCTGTTCCAAACCCTCGGCACTTGGCTCATAAAGAAGTTTTTCCTTATGTCTAGCCTGAAGTGATCTTTAATCAGCTTGTGCCCATTATTCCTTGTCCTCCCCTGGGGGGCCTTGGTGAATAGATGCTCCCCAAAACCATGATGTATGCCCCTGATATACTTATAGGCTGCAACCAAGTCCCCCCTGAGTCTTCTCTTCTCCAGGCTGAACAATCCCAAGTCCCTCTCCTCATACATCTTGGTCTCTAGGCCTCTAATCAGGCTTGTGGCCCTCCTCTGGACTCTCTTGAGCTTCTCCACATCCTTCTTGAAGTGTGATGCCCAAAACTGGACACAGTACTCCAGCTGCAGTCTCACCAAGGCTGAGTTAAGTGGGAGGATGATATTCTTTGTCTTGCTCGAGATGCCTTGTAGATGCATGCCAGTGCTTGGTTAGCTCTGCCAGCTATGGCATAGCATTGGTGGCTCATGTTCATTTTGTTGTCAATCATGACACCCAGGTCTCGTTCAGCTGTGGTGCTGGCAAGCAGAGCACTGCTAAGCCTGTAAGTGTGTTGTGGGTTATTTCTCTCCAGATGGAGCACATTACATTTCTCTGTATTAAACAATATCAGGTTGAGGTCTGCCCACCTCATGAGCCTGTCCAGGTTGGCCAGTATTGCCAGCCTGTCTTTGAGCATGACAAAGCTCCCCCATAGCTTGGTGTTATCAGCAATCTTTGCCAGATTGCTTGCAATACCTGAATCCAAATCGTTAATGAACATGTTGAAGAGCACTGGTCCAAGTACTGACCTCTGAGGGATGCCACTGGTCACCCTCTACCATGATGACCCAGTTCCATCAATACTTTGGGCTCTGCCATGGAGCCAGTTACCTAGCCACTGGACCATGAAGTAGTTGAGGCTGCATTTTTCCAATTGGACCAGGAGGACATCATGTGAGACCAGGTTCAAGGCCTTTTTGAAGTCCATGTATATGACATCAACCTCATTCTCTCTATCCAGGTGGTAACTAACCTGATTGTAGAAGGAAATGAGGTTGGTCTAGAACGACCGGCCCATGATGAAGCCATGTTGGTGACCCTTCAGAATACTGCCTTCAGTTAGTCTGTGTTTGATGGTTTCTTTGATTTTTCTCTCCAGGATTTTACGTGGGATTTAGATCAAAGTGATTGGCCTGTAGTTTCCAAGGTCCTCCCTTCTCACTTTCTTGAAGATAGGAACCACATTGGCTTTTTTCTAGTCTTCTGGGACCTCTCCTAAGCATCAAAAGTCTTCAAATAACTTGACCAATGGCTGTGCGATGACATCAACCAGTTCTTTTAGCACTCTTGGGTGTAGTTTGTTTGGTCCTGCTGACTTAGATATTTAGCCTTTGTAGGTGCTCCCCCATCTGGGTTTTCCAAGACATGTCCTGTTTTTGGGCCTTCCAATCTCCGTCAGTTTTTTGAAATGTGAAACAATGTCCAGAATTTTGCTCCACTTCACTGGCAGGAGGAAGGGGCAGGGCGATTAGAGGCAGTGGGTGTATACATGTTGGGGTCTGCATGTGTCCACACACATTGCCGGCATGCAGCCAGGCAGGATTGTAGGAGCAGCCTCAGCAGCTGGATGCAGATAAGTCTCTGAGGGGTGGGGGTTGGAGGGCCACGGCTTGGGACTGTCTGTGTGTGGGTGTGTGTGAAGGGGATGGGTGTGCAAGGCACTGGGGGAAACTGTCCGAGCGCTGGGGCTGTGGCAGGGAAGGAAGGGTGGGGGGCAGGCACCTGCCCCTTCAGCAGGGAAAGGGGAGAGGGGGAAGGGGAGCCCTTTGAGGGCAATGAGGAACTCCATGGCCAGACTGGCAGCACTGGGGCTGGTGCCCTTGCTTGTGGGCCTGGGCTGGCCGGGAAACACTGCCCAGGGTAGGGGAGGCCTGGTTAGGCCACCTGGCATGGCATTAGAGTCCCAGCCCAGGGCAGAGGGTGCCACAAGGATCCTCTCTTCCCTCCCACCCAGGCCATGGCTGAACTTGCTCTACCACCACCTGCATGAATCAGAACCACTGTGATCAGGCCTGGTCAGGACAGGGGCATCTGGGGGCCCCCTCTGGCAGGGCTGGGAGGGGGAGGAGGGAGCTGTGGGTGAGGAGTGAGGGGCAACAGCAGGGATTGGGGAGCTGCGGGTTGGGACTGAGGGGCAACAGTATAGCCGGGGGGTGGGGGAGGGACTGTGGGTGAGGAGTGAGGGGCACCAGCCAAGCCAGGGGTCTGTGGGTTGCTAGTGAGGGGCAGCAGCACAGATGGAGGGGATGCAGGTTGGGAGTGAGGGCCACTGGCAGAGCCAAGGGGCTGTGGGTGACCAGTGAGGTGTGCCTCTGATAGATGTCCTTTTTCTTGGAACTGGAAATATGGAAACCCTAGTGCAGTGGAAGCCTGGAATTATGATCCTGGGCTCCCCCTGTGCTGGCAATAAGGTGTGATGGAATCTGATGCTTGATCCCACAATCAAACATCCTGCCATGCATGTGTGACATGAGAGGAAGTGCAATTGTGAAGATTGCACATCAGATCCCACCATGCTTTTACCTGCCTGGTCTGGTAGAGGTCTAGGAATCAGTCAGGAAGGTGGAGCAATGTCTATTTGCCTACATGGCAGAAAGAAGTTTACTGGAAGCCAGTGAGGGAAATTTTCTTTAGTTTGTGTTTCTTCCTGCATCCTTGGAGATCCCCTTCTTCTTCCTTGGAGATTCCCTTAATGATACTGTTCAGAAGATTAAAGTTCATGCCATGGGGCTTTTGAAGGCCAGTGACACTGACCAAAATTCATGAGAACACACTGTCTCTGAGGAGTTAATAAATAAAAACAATGATGAGTTGGAGCATGGTACACATGGTGAATGGGAGTATATCTGGGCAGTGAAAAGCCTCGTTTAAAATTAACGCAATATAAACCAAAGTAGGTGATAATCCTAAATTCCTTCCACACTGAAAAAAATACTGAGGTTATATGTTGCAGTTTAGTTGCAGCTCAGCAGTGTTCTAACATGTCTTGGCCTAGCCTGTGTGGACAGATAAGCCACTTTATAATTGTTCAAAATCCTATTCCAATTGTTAGAACAAGGTTGATTTGCCACCATATTTAATGACGGTCTCTTGGTGAATTTAATGGTATAAAATGACTTGGTGGCCTTCTGACATAACTGCCAGGCAAATGTTTGATCTATTTGTAATTTATTTTTACAAGGGGAAGTAAGAAAATGATGAATCTCTAACACTAACCTGTCGCAGCATGGCTTTAAATGCCATATGCCTTAATCTCATTGTTAGGATTTCTCCTGATCTCCCATAAAGGAATCCCTGAAAAAGAGATGAGTATTATTTTATACCTTTGACTTTTAAAAAAAATAAATTTTAACTTCCAAGAAATTCTAATATTTATGCATCAAATACATTGATCAAATCATTTTTAACTTCCTAGAAATTCTAATATTTATGCATCAAATACATTGACAAACATAGCACTTATCTCTAGATGTGAATTTAATTTATACTAATAAATAATTTATAAATAATAATAAAATGTTTATAATAATAAAAAGAAAACAATATAATGAGATGAACAATGTAGCTGCTAATTTCCCCTCCATATTTATACTATGATCCCTCAGTTGCCAGTCTTAAACCCACAATTAATTTCAAAAGTCAGTCATTTTTAAATGAGAGTTTACCTGAAAGAAATAAGTCAGAAAGGAAACAACACCTATCCCAGCAAATATGATGGACAAAATGTTAGCTTCATGTTGGATCTGCTCTTTGTATGAGGTACTGACATTTTTTATTTCAAAAATCTGCAGATATGGAAGAAAAGACGAATGTTTGGTTAGCTGCCTTCATCCTATAGACACAAACATGCAGACTTAGAAAAACATTTATATGAATATTTCTAAGATAAAAGAAGAAGCATAACGTTTTCAAAAACACTTTAGTAATTTTAACCCACTGAAAGTCACAGGAACTCAGGCACTTAAAAAAAAAATACTGGTAAGTATATTTGGAAAGAAACCCAAAGAAATAAAGTTTGTTAATTTTAACAATACAAAAATTGGGAAAAATAATACTCATTCAATTTTTTCTTCTTCTTTGGTAAAACTTAGTTGAATTTAAATGAACATTTAGAACAACAAAAATAGTTAAAAGTAGAAGATGGTATGTCATCATTATAATCTTATAATAGTTCATAGTTTTTATTTATTTATTATCAGTCTATATTATGTTGGTGGGAGGGGAAAGGCAGCTGTTTTATTGAATTATTAAAATTCTTTTTAAAATTCTTACAAAACACTTAAATTAAACCTGTGTAATTTTAGGTGCATGCACAAGTGTTTCCTTTGCTGGGGACCTTCATGCATTCTTTCTTAGCCTATTTTGTTTGGGACCATACTGAGAATGCTAGTGGTATATCTCAGCTGCCTGGTTACTATTCACTTACCTGTGTTTGAACTTCTAGGCAGTAATAATTATTATACCTACTCTCTATCTGTTAAATGCTGAAAAAGCACTGAATTCAAACTTAGCAGGAATAGAAAAATATCTTGTCAGCATTTGGCTGCTAAGTACTTTTACAACAGAGGGGGCATAACTCCCTAATGGGATCAAGAAACCTTTTTATTTGACACTATTTCAATGGATAGAACCTTTCAGGGACGTGTTCTCTCTCAAAAAAGATCCCACCTCACCGACTCTCAGGTTGCTTACAGGGGTGAAAAAGCTCCCAAAAACAGAGCTTTACTTTCAGCTCAGTGCACCCCCATACCAAGTGCAGCACATCCCCACAAGGGGCATTGCATTAGTTTGACCCAGTTCATCCAACGTCTATATAGATTACACACCTCAGTGGGGCTTTTTGGCACTGTTGTTTAATAGCCGATTCAATCACCTTCAGCTAAAAGCAGCAAAAAAGCCCTACTAAAATGTCTGATCTATACAGATGGTTAGGATCTGGGTCAAACTAATGAGCTTCCTCTTCTGGTAAAGTGCTTTTTTCCACATCTGTCAGTGCCTTCAGTTCAGAAAGATCCTCACCTGCATAAGAAAGGGATAGAAAAAAAATGCAGTCCACTGCTTTAAGTACAGATGCAAGGGCCAGAACCTTCTATGTTTTAAACCATGCTCTAAGAGTGATCTTTCCTGTGATTTCCACTTTCTTATACCTGGAAAACTGAGTAAATAATAGTTGAACAGAATGGCTGGAGATGTTTTCTCTGACATCTCTAACCCAATATATGGTGGATGCTAGGGAGACTATTGAATAGACTATTGAATTGACTATTGATCACTCCAGAGATACCCAGTTCGATGCTCTTCTTGCATAGCATCTGCTCCTGCCACTGTCAGAGACATGATACTAGGCTAGATAGATCACTGGTCTGACCCAGTATGGCACTTCCTATGTTCTTATGTCATAGGGATGCTGCGGGCTCTGTAAATGGAAAAAAGTGCTATATGAATGCTACAGGGTTTTTTGATTGTTGTCATGTTGGTCTAAGGATATAGGCAGGCAAGCTTCTTTGGGTAGATGTGGTATCTTTTATTAGACCAACTGAGTAGTTGGAAAAAAGTTCTTTGCAAGCTTTCTGGCACAAGCACTCTTCTTTCATTGCTTGGACATCTCAGAACAGCAGAGACTCCCTATGCCTGAAGAAGGATGGTTGTGTCCGAAAGCTTGCAAAGAACCTTTTTCCAACTCAGTTGGTCCAACATGAGTGCTAAGAATTATTATAGTATAGAGAAACTATGTTAGTCAGAACAAATTTTATGCAGACAGATGCAAACACTGTTTCCCTAGAGCAAGCACACCATATTCCTAATCTCCCCAGGTTGAATGTTCAGTGACCAGACAGCTACAGTAATATGATTCTGGCTAGCATGGTTTCATGGTAGTGTAGATGGGGCCAAAGGTTCCAGTCATGTCACATTCATTACAGTCCTTCTAAAGTTAAATTAGAGAACAATTATTCTTACACTTAACTGTTACAATTTTACCAAATATGACAGCAAAGACAGGGGAACATGCTCCATTTATAATGGCAGCCAGCGTCCCTATTGCAATCAAAGGCCACTCAGATTTGTTTAATCTAAAAAGTTTCAGCAAAGAAACTTGGGGCAGATGTTCCTATAAAAGAAAACAGAAATATTGCATCAATTATTGTATCTTTGTAAAATACAATTATTTCATTTCATTTTCAGAGACCTGAGTTGAACTACTTGTACACTGCCTATAGAAAAAGAAATTTAAGAATCTGCGAATGGCCCAATCCATTCTATGATACTCACTCCATAATAACCTTAACAGCAACATCTGTTAATAGTTATGTCTTGCATTCATACAAGGTAGCAACTTTGACCCAAGGGTGCCAAAGCAGTATTACAAAGGAGGGTAGTATTGTCATAGAATCATAGAAAATTAGGGTTGGAAGGGACCTCAGGAGGACATCTAATGCAACCCCCTACTCAAAGTAGGACCATCCCCAACTAGATCATTCCAGCCAGGGCTTTGTCAAGCTGGGCCTTAAAAAGCTCCAAGGATGGAGATTCCACCTCCTCTCTAGGTAACTTGTTCCAGTGCTCCACTACCCTCCTAGTGAGAAAGTTTTTCCTAATAAAAATATGAGAGTTGAGGACAACCAGAAACAGAAAAGTTAATCAATTTGCTGACTGGCACATGAATCAGATATATGAATTTAGAAGGAAGAAGCAGCCTTTCTAACTGGCACTGAGATAATCTTTAATAGACTGATCTATTCAAAATTGCTGCCATTTCTTTGAAAGTACTCTGCAGGATCTGTTGAAACTCGTATCCTTTCATTGTACCACACCATAACTAATCATTTTTTAGGATTGAGCAAGACCCACCAAGAAAATCAAATGTAGCTTCTGTAAATGATTACCTCTTCAGGTTTGACTTCTTCTTCAGACACCTTTTGTGGAATATGTTTTATACTTGCTTTTTCAGAGATCAAGCTGTTGCTGGGTGGTGTTTCTTCATGATTTTTTATGGGAACTGTTTCTGCTGATTCTTCACTGTACTCTGCTTTTTTAATTGACTTAAACACAACAGAAATTCAGTTACAAATATATTGAGTACAACAGTGTAGTTGTAATAAAAGGACTTAATTTCCATTTGCAGTGTCATGTAAGTACTATGAGGCCTCTGGCACATGTTACATCTACGGCATGATTAACATGTTAATTGCACCAGAATTGGCAATGGTGCTACACATTTACAAAATTTAAGGCACCATAAAATGGCAAACCAGCCACAAAGATGGCCCACATATAATGTAGGACAGCTTTGTAACTGATTTTCATGCAGCCTTAAACTGAACGTGTAGCATCTCCATACCCCAGAGCTGTCTGAGGCCTGATGCTGATAATTACCTGATTGTTGGAATCAGCCCCTGATGGCCCTGGTCTCCAACCAGCCTCAAGCTGACAATCAGCCGATTGTTAGCATTCCCTTCAGGCAGCCCCAGGTCTCCAGTATTCCTGGGGCTACCACAGGATGGAGCAGGCAGAGCCAAAGGGCTTGCCCTGCTGCAGAGTTTAACTCACGAAGTCCATTACCCCTGCTGGGGCATGTCAGTGAAGGGGTTTAAACTTCCTAGCTGGAACAACCCCTGAGCTCTACCTGTGGGAAACCTTCAATCTCTCCATGCCTCAGCTGGGCTACTGGCAATCATGATAGGGATATGTCCCTGATCTCCATAATAGCACATCCTACCATGTAAGGTGAATGACTGTTGGGATGTGATTTTTTGATCACATTCCAGCTTTATCACATCCCAAAAAATCCCATTGATCACATTGCAAAAAATCACTTCATGTGATTTTTTGAACATCTGCCAGTGTCCTGATACCCTGATTTGCTATATGAAATTTAGTCATTTAACTACATTTGCATCTTCATGTGTCTTCCAAATAAAGTTAAAAATATTTCCTTTAGTGCATTGTCACTTCTTCCAGCTAAAAGCGTATTCTCTGTTTATCTGTATGTTTAGACTATAATAAAAGCTAAGGCTTTGTGTCAAATGGTAAGGAAGTTATACTTGTCTTCCTTCTAAGAACCCAACCCTGTGAAAGTCTAAATAAAACCTAGGTGTTTTCATTGACTTCCATGACAAATGAACTTGCTCAGCTCCTTTCAGAAGTGGATCAAAGTTTGCAAGTAAACTACACCTGTGAATACTTTGAGATATATTTTACTTCTGTTTTAAATGATGTAGAGAACTTCATGAAATAAATATGTTTGGCCTCACCTGCACATGGATGGTGAAATGTTGAACCCTACTGGAATCTATGGCAGACCCCCATTGATTTCAACAGGTGCAGGATTTCACTCCTAGTATTTTGAAACCATTTCCTCTGAGCTTACTTCTAGTTCTATCCACAGTCACTCCCCAATAAATATTGCCATTCACTCATTCTGAACAGTACAGGTAACAGAATTTCAAGTAGTACAACAATCCTAAACATGCAGTATTAGTAATGGTTAATATTAATATAATTTAAAACGCAATTTTCCAGGTTACAGGAGGATAAGTGTAAGTTTTGTAAAGCTTTCCTGGAGTAATATATAAGCACTAAAAGCCAAATAGCCTAGTTATAGTTGTTGGCTGTTTTAAAACTATCTTTAATGGGAGTGGTTCAATAATCATATTACCACAGATGGTATGAAAACTCTGCATGAAAATTATTCCATTGTCAGTTTTAGCCTAAGTTTGATTAAAGGTCTCATGAAAGTCTCACTAGTGTACTACTAGCACCTTTATTTGACTGTTGGGATGTCAATAGTAGTGGAATTAGTGTTGGCCAGCCTGTATTCTAACCCAGTTAGATGACATGGTGGAAAAAATTCTATGCCCCACATTTCGTTGTCCATAGCACACCCTCAGTTTGACCATTTCACTGATGGGTTTGCAATGGTGCTAAACCAAAAGTGCAAGAAATGCAAGATTTCCAGTGTCTAGACATTTCTATGTTCTGACTATAAGGGCATAGACAGATGAACAATAATGCTGTTTTAAAAGGGGGGTTGCTGCTTGTGAGCAAGTGTCAGCTGTAACCATTTAATATGTTCCATCATATCCTGCACTAAGTGACATGAATCTGTGGTAAATTAACCTCATTTCATTCAGAGGTATCCAGTCCTAGTTTAAGCTTTCACCTAGGTCAGGCCAGGTGCAGGCAGACAAAACAGAGAGACTCAGATGAACTAGGATATATCATCCTTTCTCTTTAAAATTTGTTTAATGTTTAATCTGTTCTAGCACATGGCTGCCTGCAAAGTTATGGGCATCTGGTCCTGACAGGCATTTTGTTTGTCGACTGGATCTAACAATACATTTAGGAATTAAGTTACAAAGTAGACTATTGCCTTTCCTTTGGGTTGTGAAAACCTCCCTCTGTGCTTTAGCTGAGATTCCCAACAGCAACTGCCAGCCAATCCCCAAGGAGCTGTACCACAAAGAAGCTGGATGGTGTGTCTGGGATCTGGTTTCCAGTCAATTCTGTGATGTCGGTGAGTGTGGGAGGACAGAGTCCCCTAACTTCTTTGGGTAGGCCTCGTGTTCCTATACAATGAACCACTTCGAAGGCTTTCTCTTTCTTTTTCTTTCTTTCTTTCTTTTTTGTTTTTTGCATAGGGAGTAGTTTGGTTTTAGTTAACATTGTGCTTTCAACTTTTGGGCAGAGTAACCTGAACTGAAAGCATGTAGTATCTTAAAAAAAATATTTTAGATCTTCACAGATAAACAAAGTTGATAGACCGCACACACAAAAAATCCTAAAATCAAACTTTCACACATTCATAAAGTACCTGGGTGGCTAAAATCAAACACAGTTATGTTTTTGTTTCTAACTTTAGGGTCTAAAATTGCATACTGTGGTGTCTTGGTGCATGACTGAAATTTCTGCATGTTATAGTTACACACACAAATAAATACTAAGTGTACCTGTGCTGTTGCAAGTGAATAATATAGCCCCTTTTTCTCCATCAGCTCTGCATGTGTTCCTCTTTCAGCCACAGTGCCACCCACTATGGTCATGATTTCATCTGCTGTCTGAATGGTGGAAAGCCGGTGAGCTATAACAATTGTGGTTCGACCTCTGCTGGCCTGTAAACAGAATACCAAATTGTAATTCATGTCCCCTGGGGCTTCATGATTTATTGTAATTTACTCTAATTTGTAGTATTGATACTGTTGTTACATCTTATTGATTTCATTTGCTAAACATCCTGACAATCCATGAATTTTTCACAACTGACTCAACTAAAACCCAGATGCATTTCCTGGTCCTTCTGTGCTGGGCTATATTCATAACTTGCTTGCGGTCATCCACATCAAGTCAGTCAGAAAGCTCACTTTTCTGCTTTTGCTTTATTTGTACATCTCTGCTTTTCTTCTGCTTAAAATTAAAGGCTACAGCCCTGAGCTGCTCTAAATTGCATAGGTGCAGAGTTCTTAGAGGGATTAGCTATGTGGCAGAGGACACAGAGAGCAATGTGTGCATTTGTCTCAGCCCCAATAGGTAGAAGTTAAGGTGGCATGAAATAAAAAATGCTATCTTTCTTCACCAGGTATTTCCTTGCCTTCTGCTGTTTCCCTGAGATTTCTTTACTGATGGAGTATCACAGAATCTTATCAAAGGTTAGAGTCTTGGCTAAGTTATTTTTGGAGGGGATAGCTGTCTGTAGAGTTCAACAAGAATAGAAACTTCTTTGCTGTTGCACATCTCTATGAAACATTAACCACCAGATATCAATACTTCCACACGTGAAATATTAAGGTTTTACTGAATTTTGCATTTTTGTGCTTATTCCTCCAATTAAGATATTTCATATTTAAGGTTAATTTCAAAGATATGGCCAAGATGATGCCAATTCTAAAAATTTAAGAATTAAAAATCATTTGTGATAGGCCAAGTGTTTACGCCTCACTGTTCAACTTCTGTAGGAGAAAAGAGTAATAATTATGTTAATTTATCTCTCTCACACATTTGAAGTAAACATATGATACAAGAAAACAGAAATAGAAGGTTGTGTCAAAAACTGGAGTCACCTTTTCCAGTGCAGCTTGGACAACTGCCTCACTTTCTGTATCCAGGGCAGATGTGGCCTCATCTAAAAGGAGAATCTTAGGGTTGCGCACCAAAGCTCGAGCAATAGCTATTCTCTGTTTCTGGCCTCCACTCATTTGTGCTCCTCTTTCTCCCACAAGGGTATTAAATTTCTAGAGCAACATTAGCAAAACTATTAATTTTCCAGTATAAACAGTTAATTGCTAATACAATCAAATCTAAAGTCCATTCTATAAGTTGACAGAAAGACCGTCATCAACTCAATCTAAAAGTTGATGGATCAAGCCCATAGAGCACGCCAAAAGACACTAAATAAATATATGTCTAGCAAAATATGAGCTATTATTACATTGTTAAATTCAGAAGCAGCAGTGTAGAAATATGATTTGAAGAAAAACTATACAAACTCACTGTATAACTATTTTCTGGAGAAAAAAGAATATTGTACCCAGAAGCAGATGGTCTCTAATATTTTTGGATGAAGTAATAAAAGCCAGAGCAGTGACCCAATGTAGCAGAAGGAATTTTTGGAAGGTCTGATGTGGTTTAATGGATCTCCTTTTCTAAGCCACATGGCCTATCACAAAACATGACAGATTTGCTGCATGGATTCAACAAAAGATACTTAAGCTCCTGCATCATTGTAAGCACCTCTACTCAGAATGGTAGGGATACTCGGGAGCTCGAAGTTGCTCATTGCTTGAATACCTTATTGAACTGGGGCTTTTATGCTCTTAGCTCTGCTTGGACTATGTATCCCTTCAGTCATTCAAAACACAAATTCTGAAAAACGCTGCAATTTTCACTTGTAGCCACAAGGTGGCTGTAAAAATCAATGCTTTCCTGCTTACATTTATCAGCTGTTGCTGAGTTTCCATCACGTGTATTTTGCCATTTTGCAGATGGACACCTGTCCCTCATTTGGGACTGCGGTTTAAGAAAAAAAAATAAAACAGATGTTCTTACTGTGAAGATGAATTTGTATTCAAACCATGCGTGTTTCTAGCTTTTGGTTTCTCAGTTAACTCCATCCATAACAGAAACCTGTCCCTGCTTCTTGAGCTTTCCCATTTATTTCTGCTTCCCTAAATATCTGCTTGAGAGTAAATCTGTTAGCTAAGGTGACATGTTAGCTAAGGTACTTTAGCATCGTGCTGCGTTTTCTGTACGTGCTCTCTGTCTCACACAGCTCCAACAGACGTAAAAGAAAAATTATTTCATCTATGGCTATATTTCAACACCTCACTATATTTCAGTTGTTTGAATAGTACTTACTTCAGGAAGATCCATTATAAAATCATATGCATTTGCTTCCTTTGTTGCCTTCTCAATTTCTTCATCAGTTACATCCTCTTGCCCATACCTTATATTGTTTCTAATTGTTGTCCCAAATAAAACTGGTTCCTGACTGACCACACCAATGCATTCTCGGAAGTGTCTCAAATTAAGAGATCTGATATCATGTCCATCTATTTTGATCTAAAAAAAGAAACACCACTGTCAGAGCTGATTTGGATCAGTGCCTCGACACTGGAACTTTCTAGCACAAGGCACAGTAAGGTAGGGGAAGTCTCGGCATGGTGAAGAGTTCCGGCATGGATAGAGTTCCTGCCGAGGAAATGCAGAGTTGCATAACACAATTGGCCGATGTTAAATTATTCCCACGTGGCGGCTGGCAATTGGCTTGCTAGCCGTATAAAAGGTTAGGGGCATTTCCGCCCTAGTTGGAGAACTCCGCGATTCCCCCTGGAGTGG